GAGATAAAACAGACGTTTTACATGGTGAAATGTGACTGATGACAACTTAGAGTTTAATCCCACACCAGTTTGACCAGGAATAACGTGGAGTGATGAGTCTGACTTTTTTTCCCATTAGACTCCACCAGAAGAAATCCCATCATACTGCTGCTTAAATGTTCACTACGTCAGAACTTATTCAGTAAATGTGTTTCATCTCTGCTTCTGTGCATTAACTCTTACAGGATGGAGGAAACTGGTCTTGGTGGAGGTTTGCACTCTCCCAGTGCTTCTAGGTTTTAGATACATTTGAAGTTAATTTATTGTTTTGCAAAAAAATCATAAAATGGTGCAAAATAACTTTAAAGCAGAAGCTCAAGATCAATTTCACTTGAAGAAAATCATTATAAAACAAGTGGAAACATTTCGACACGTACAACCAGAAAGTTCTGCTCAGACCTGACCTTTTGGTCTCTTCCAGCCATCGCCGAAGTGGGCGGAGTCCCGTTCGACATCCTGGAGCCGGTTCTGGAGCGATGCACTCCGGAGCAGCTGTACCGCATCGAGCAGAGCAACCAGGTCAGAAAAGACCAGTTCTGAACCTTAATCTGGGTTCAACTAACCAGCTGAAGTTTAGCTGCTTTCAGCTGCAGTTTCACGTTGTTTCGGCTCCTGCAGTGCTTCACGGAGGACTCAGACGAGCTGTGGATGCGTCACTGTCAGCGCGACTTCAAGCGGGAGACTCCTCAGGAGTTCGAGTCGTGGCGGGAGCTGTACCTGCGGCTGCACGACGAGCGCGACGAGCGCCTCCGCCTCCTCACCCAGAACATCACCTCGGCCCAGGCCAACAAACCCAAAGGTACGGAGGCGGGGGCTAGAGGGGTCTGTGCTCCTCTGAGGGGGGGTCAGAGGGGTTAACTAAAATGTGTTTTCAGTTTCAGTTTTTGTTATTTCGTTAGTTTGAGGTAACTCTAATAACCCTGGTCTGAATGTGGCGTCCCCTCAGGCCGGCGGGCRAAGATGGCCTTCGTGAACTCCGTGGCCAAGCCGCCGCGGGACGTTCGGCGGCGTCAGGAGAAGTTCGGCACTTCCAGCGCCTCGACTGCAGCTGCTCCCTTCAAGTGAGTTGACAGGACCACGGCGTGGTGTTCCTCTCTCAGCTCCAAACATTTAACCAGAACAGCTCCTGGAGGAGGTTCACCACCAGTCGTCCYGTTTAAATAAAGATTTGACTTTACTSTTTGTAGGAGGTCACTGTGMTCTACTACCRTCACAAATTTCAWTACRGCTGAGTCATGGTTCATTTTGCTTTTTTAGTTATGGCAGCCATCTTGGATTTTTGATTTGGCTTCAGTAGGTGCTGGAGATCCTTCGTAGCTACCACCACACCAAATGTTAGCTAAAAATGTTTCAAAATGGCCGAGTTATTGCAGTTTTAAATTAGCTTTGGTGGCCATCTTGAATTATTTTTTAACATTCAGGATGTGTCAGTCTTTTCTACTCTTATACCAGTTTTCAGTCTTAAAATGTTTGAATTAGAGCCGTTTTAATTAATTTTACCTGTTAGCTTAAACAGAATGTGTTGCGTTAGCTCTCAGTTACCATGTCACCAAATTTCAGCTTTCACTCATGTGACATGGCAAGCTTTAATGAATAAAATAAGATTGTGGGAGTGGTGGTAGCTGAGAGTCATCCCTGCTCTATAATGTRATGAAGTCAGTCTAACACAGGGGTGTCCAAACATCTTGGGCCAAAATCATAAAGTCAGAAGAACCTGAGGGTCAAAAATATTTTTTCTTTACCTGCTCAACAATAAACTGAGCATTGAATACTTTAATTAAACAAATAAAGGAGTCAGATTTAKTGCTGGAAATGGATGTGTAAATTAATCTAGATTAATTAATTTGCAGGTTTCTCTTAATGAAAGAAATTTTGCAATTTTCTAGGTTCCAACTGGAGAAAAATAACCTGATTTAGTCAATTCTGATCAATAAAATCAGGATTTAGGTCACTCTTTCATTGAAAATGTTTGCTGTATTCAGACAAATTTAATAAATGAATTAAAAGCAGATTGAATTGCAGCAAAATCAGCTTTTCAGTAGAAGTCACCAGATAGATGTTGAAAAATCTGGTTATTTAAAGACAAATAATAGTTATTGTTGCAAATATTTTTATTATAAGATTTAACTTTGTGATAAATTTGGCCTATAAATAAATAGAAAGTCTCCATCTACATCAAACAGCTGTGCCGGGGGACAAATTTGTAAACAAATAATTCTTGAACTGAAGTCGGGCCACAAATGGCCCCCGGGCCACACTTTGGACATCCCTGGTGTATCAGGTCTGAAAGGTGGAGGTGATTCTTACCAGGAAGTGTTTTCTGTTTCACACGTTTATTTTATTTTAGAAACTAACTGCCCACTTCATTTCAGACTCAGCTGTTTTCTCTTCTTCCTGTTTCTTTCAGAATAAAAGCACCTACCACCGAATCCTCCGGTGAGTCAAGCCGCTCTTCTTCGTCCCTTTTAACTCCTCCTGCAGGTTCGGCCCGCTCCTCGGCGCCAGGCGGCGGCGGAGGAGGAGGAGGAGGAGGAGGAGGGGTGCCGCCGCATGTGGGCCGGGAGAAGCCTCAAGTCAAAAGTGAGTCTGCAGCAACTTTTCTGTGTTTTATTGAAACGTTTTCTAAAATAAAATAAAYGTGTTTCGACTGGTTTGTCGTGCAGAAATCGCTCCCATGATGGCGAAAACCATCAAAGCGTTCAAGAACAGATTCTCCCGCCGGTAGTGTGACTCGGACCGACCCGACTCCACCAGTTTTACTTTGACTTCAGCAGAATTTGAACCGGAGAGCTTCTTCCTCTGCGAGCGTGGATCCCGAGCCGACAGACAGAGCTTCACAGAGCAGAGGCCTACGAAGGGTTAATCCTGGAGACGAGCAGAGAGGCRCACAGGCAGCCTGCTCCCTGTTACTGCCCAGCAGCTCCTTTTAAACCTTTCTTTTTTTCTTTGTTTTTAAAGGAATTTCACCTCACAGGATGGGTTTCACCAACAGCAGCACAAAAACTGGAAACAGACGGGAACATTTTACACTTTTATCCTTTTCTCATGAGAAAACACGGAGTTGATCAAACCTTAACGATCTGATTGATCTCATGATGTCACTCTTTGAGAGCGGCTCATGAGATACTGTGCTAACAGACATTTAGCATAAACAGTATTATCTGTTCGGACATCGTGTTTGTGTGAACTGATCCAGTTTTAGAACCTTTAAACTGACATCAGTCCTCAGAATAAATTGTTATAATTGAAGCTCAGCTCAGTTTAAAGCTGCTTGATTTGTGTTCGAAACACTTGAAAACAAGCAGATGTTATCAGTGTCTTTGCTTGCCGCCTCGGATTATTTTCCCGTTTTTTTTTTTTAGTTTTATAGTTTTTTTTGGCACTTTACTACGTCGGCGTACTTTGTGCTGTTTTAGCTGTTGTTAAATGAAAATGTTCGGCTCATTCAGGAGATGAGTGCTGCAACATTTGGTTTTTATAACTTTTATACTTTTTAAAATTACTGACTTCGTTTGCAACACCTTCCATTTTAAAATACATTAAGATACTTCTGCTAATGCTAATRTTCTGCTAAACGTAGCTAGCCTTTAGCTGTTTTTAACCAACCAGTTTTTACTTTGCTTTAGTTAGGTCTAGCATTTAGCTAGTGTTTGCTACGTTTAAGTTTCTTCAGCAGATTTCATCAGAGTCAGAAGTGGGCGTCGGTTTCTCTGGTTGAAGTGTTTTTGAGCTGGGATCAGATGGAAACCAGGAGTCATCTGAGTGTTTGGACTCTTCTGGGTCTGAAAGCGTCAGCTACAGGAAGTTACATGTTTTCTCTGCACAGGTTTGTTTTATTGTAACAGGACACATAAAAGAAGTTTGAGCCAGGCTAGCAGTTTCCCTTTGTTTCCAGTCTTTGTGCTAAGCTAAGCTAACAAGCTGCTTGTTTTTACAAATTGTCTTTTATAAAATATTCAGAAATCAAATGGACAGTTTCCAAACTGTGAAAATACTCATTTTTATCAGCTTTTATTTCCTTTTTTTTTTGTCTTTAAGACCAAATGACACTAAAATGGGAAACTTCAGTCTATTTATGGCTTCATGGCTGCTGGAAGATTTGAAAGTGTTTTATTTAATCTTGTTTTTTTGTGGTACGTTTCAGTGTGCGAGGCTAAAAACAAACCAGAAACGTGTCTTGCTGTGTTCTTTGAGCGCTCCTGTGGCTTCAGATCAGATGTTTTCCTGCTGCTGAATGAGTCTGTTTCTATCTGCTTCACTGTGACAAACTGTTTGAATGAGGGATGAAGAGTCTGGAGGAAGAAGAAAGTTCATAGGACGTCAGCAGCTTCAGTCCTCCATCGTGATGAAATGTATTTATTTTAAACTATGGGACCTGGTACCCTTCAACATGGGCTCAAGTAGATGAAAAACTGTAATTTTATTAGATTTTAATAAATGTTCTATGGTCATTTTTATTAAAATTGACATTTGCCCCTAAAAACTGTTCGTTTTTATTATTATTTTTATTATTTTTTTCCTATTTTGAATAAAAAACAAACAAAAAATAACAACTTACTTACAGCATGTGCATTTTAGGAACTTTGAGTGCTAAGTTTTATGTATTGAGTAGTATTTTATACCTGTTTCTTTTAATTAAAGTAACTTTAGTTTTAAACAAAGCCTTTTAAAATAAAACATATTTTCTCGCAATGCATCTGGTGTAAATAGCTAAATATGGGATGATTTGTAAACAAATTATAGTCTCTAAAATGTATCATTTTTTGCAACATGTTAAACACCAAAACATTACAAACCGATTAAAAACAGATTTTTTTAGTTTGGCACCTTTGTAAACATAGAAATCAATTCGTGTTTGTAAACAAATTGCGACAGTTTCAACGTTTAGCGGTAGAAGATGCCAGCCAATCAGGAGTCATACTCGAGAGTTTGCTCCTCCTACTTCTGAAGAAGCAAGTAAACAACTTCCGGTAACTCATGGCATCTTCAAAAATAAAATATAACCCTTCGTAGTTGTTTTTAGCGAAGCACATTTTTATTATTCTTTATGAAATGTATAATACCAACAATATAGAATAAAGCTTTGATAAAAATAAGTAAGAAAGAAAAGAAAGATACCAAAATACACCAGAATATCTTTAAAAATAATTCTTGAAGGTCTTTAAAAAAATTACTGATCAAAACAACAGGATAAAAAATAAATAACTACTGTTTGCTACGTAGTCCCAGATCACAAGAAAAATAATCTCATTGAACACTGCAGGGAAAAATCAAGTTTCAATGTCAAATTATATCAAAAAGTCATCTTCTAGTCTGTTGTTTTCAAATGTACTCATCCATTTTAAAACCTAATTATGTTTAAGCAATACATTTTTTCCCCCCTGTAGTCAAGGGAGCCATTTCAGACCTTTGTTGTTTTGGGGTTTATGCTTTGACGTGGGAGGGCAGACTTTTAATGTGAAAATCTCGTAGCGGAAATGCAATCGTTTCTCTTCACTTGATGAATTTAGTTTGTGCCACGCTGCGAAGCGAAACTTGCTGATCACCTCTGTTCAAAACAGTGTTTAATTCCAGCGTGTTTCAGTTCATATTATCTGTTATCAGCGCGTCGTGAGGCCAGGATGTCCGGACACGGACATGGACACGGACACGGACACAGCTGCGGGTCCGAGGGGGAGCACGAGCCCGCGGAGAGGGGCCTGGAGTTCGGACTCTACAGCCGCATCGACCTGGAGAAGCTGCAGTGTTTGAACGAGAGCAGAGACGGAGACGGAAAGCTGGTGTTCAAACCGTGGGACCAGCGGAACCAGCGGGACAAGGTAACCCCCGTGTGCGGCGTCTTTAGGGAGTTTTGATCAGGCGGACACTGGGCGCCTAAAGGGGTCCTACGAACCTAACAATAACAAACAAAGGCATCTAAAAGGAGATTTATTTGCAGAGGTCTAACAAAAACTAAGTAAAAGTAAAATTATACGAACAGAAAATGACTTTGGTAAAAATAAATTTTACTGATGAGAAAACTACTCAAGTAAAAGTCATAAAACTGTTTACAAAAACTGGGAAAATAAAAGTAAAATGGCGACACTCTCTAAGAAATAAACTACTACTAGCGACTAATAATAATAAAATATATAATATAAAGAATTAAGCTTAGTGGAGCCAGTTGACATGACTTTGTTGAGTAAATTCAACACTTACATTTTTTAGAGCAGAAACATCTGCTTTCATGATGAGTTACAATATATTTAATTTTGTAACAAGTAACCAGGTGATGAATTTTAGAGTAAAGAAGTAAAATGACCACTTTTAGCCTTAAAATGTAACAAAATAAAAGAAAAAGTAGCTGTTTAAAAATAATTGGTAAAATTACAAATCCTCAAAATAACTACATAAGTACTGTAATGAAGTAAATGTACTTAGTTACTATAAAACTGCTTATTTATAAAAATTAGACAGACAAAATAGAGTAAACGTAAAAATGTGAACAAATAAAAAAAGCTTATAAGAGACAAATTAACTAAAAACAGACAAAAAGCAATGAAAGAAGTAATTTAGCGTACAGTAAATGAGATGGAAATACCAAAGGTTCAGTTAAAAACTGCTGTTTAGCTTCATTTTGAGCTGAAGAGAAATTTTAACAGTAGTTTCTGTTTTCTTCTCATAGTATGTTGAAAGTGACACAGATGAAGAGCTGCTGTTCAACATCCCGTAAGTCCTGAACTCAGCGTCAGGCTGAACTTTTTGTTTCCAAATAGAAAGGTTTTTTTTTCATCTGATTGAACGTTGTTGGAGGTAAAATCCCACTTTTTATTAAACTGATGTCTTTGATTTATTATAGCTGTGTATACAGAAACCTTTAAWTTTTAATCTGAAGTTTTTCTGGGTGTATTAAAATCTTTGATTCTGAATTTGTTGCACTTGATGGCGTCTCCCCTCTCGTATGTCAGCGTCCTGTGTGTGAGTAAACTGAGCCACCGCGTCTCATTTCTTCCAGTTTCACCGGCAGTGTGAAGCTGAAAGGAATCATCATCTCTGGTGAAAACGACGACTCTCATCCGGCTGAAGTTCGACTGTAGGTTTCTGCCAGTTCCGTATAAAAATTAAATAAATTTGACTTTCATTTTTTGTTGCATTTCTGCCTTTTTATCTTTGATCTTCAGGTGAAACCAGCTTGATCTTCTGTCGTTTCTTGTTCTTCCTCCTCAGATACAAAAACATCCCTCAGATGTCGTTTGAYGACACCGGCAGAGAACCCGAACAAGCCTTCAGACTGAACCGAGACCCTCAGGCTGAGCTGGAGTACCCAACCAAGTGAGAACACACAAATAACACGGGTGGAGATTAAAGGTTACAGATTAACTTTGGATGGGAWGTTTGGTCCTAAGCCCCTCCTTCTTTTTCTTTGTTCCAAACTAATTTTTGCAACAAGTGCGCATCATGTATGATCATGTGTGTACGTCTTATTTATACAGATCTGTTTCAYGGCTTGATTTACAACTTTAAACTCTGGAGTTGTTTTAAAACGTTTTTTGTCTTTCCCCCAAAATTTACTGACTTGAATTTGAGCCAAATCTGAAAAATTCAAAAACAAATTTTCTGATCCTTTCTCTTCAACTTCACTTTGTGCATTTTAATTGTTCTGCTCGCATCATTTTTCTATTAAATAATTTTTTAACCTTGTCTTACTCAGTAGCTTTAAGCTATTGCTTATTCCGTGTTTTGATTTGAAGCGTTCGTCTGTCTTTACGTGCAGGATTGCTCGTTTTTCCAGCGTTCAGCACCTCTCCATCCACATCTCGAAGAACTTCGGAGCAGAGAACACTCGGGTGTACTACATCGGCCTCAGAGGAGARTATTCACAGGTTGGTTTAAAACCACGGGCTGAATTGTGACATTATAAACGTAATAACTGTGTAGCGCTTGTTTACAAGCTCCTCCTCCTTTTTCAGTCTTACAGACATGAAGTGACCATCTGTAACTACGAGGCGGCAGCCAACCCTGCAGATCACAAAGCGGACAGCATCTTCCCGCGGACCAACTTCATTTCCTGAGAGCTGCGGGTGAGGGATGGGGGGGATACAGAGGTCTTCACTGGCTTTCAGAAACATGAGTGTGGTGTTGTGTTCAAGCGACCGGTCTAGCACAGAGAGCGAGCTCTGAGCTCCTGAGGACCACTGAGCTTCAGTTGTTTCCGAGAGCGAGGCTGCTTCTCTGTTTCCATGGCAGCACTGTGTGACGCTCAACGTGGGCAGAGTGTTTGATGGTAAACGCACGTAATGTTTTAAAGCACAAAAGGTTTCTGTTGTTTGAATAAAACACTGAAGACAACTGAACGATGATGTGTCTTTGATTATGAAGATCCTGGTTACTGTGACAACACTCAGTCATTACTCACTGCAGAGTTTAGGATTTAAAACACAAATTAAATAGATTTAACACTGAAACAGACATTTGAAGCCACTTTTTGTGCTTCAGAAAATAAAAGTTAAATATTAAAACTTATTTGCCTTTGAAGCTGTAAGTATCTGCTAAGCTAAAACTGAACTAAATCTAGTTAAAAGCCTTAAAACAGAAGCAAAGTGAAGGACACGGTCTGGTTTTTACCAGGCTAGATAAAAACTAAAAGCATGAGAAACATTTTAAAAAGGTTGTTGTTTTTTAGGAAATCTTTGTATTATGAAGAAAATAAATATTTTAAAAGTTGCAAAAGTCAAACATCTATCTGAATGAGGTGAACGTTTTCTTTTTTCCAACATATGTTTATTAGTTATTAATACAAACAAAACAATGGGAGGCAGAACCAACTACCACACAATAACATGAACATTATAACTCAAAAATAATAATAAAATAATAAACCCATTAAAACAGTAAGGCTATGTGAAAAAAATAGCCGGAATATCCAGACCTGTACAGTATAGAGCAGTATTTCCCAAAGTTGGGGTCGGGACCCAAAGTGGGGTCCTGAAACATCAAGGTGGGGTCCTGAAAAGATTTTCTGAATTAATTACATTTTTGCCTTAGTTGTTACAAAGGAGTGAGGTTAGTGTATTTAAAATGGATAAATGTTTGGGAACCACTGG